TCGAGGATGGGATGGAGACGTCAGGGAAACGTCGAACAATAGTATGAAGAAGCCTAAAAAGGCACCAAGAGAAAATAGCTATCATGATCAAAGTTGCTCTAGTCATCAAGATTGGTCTGCCCCAAGTGGCTAAAAGGAACTGAGGGGAATTCAGGCCGGCAGAACATGCGCTCTGCGGGGAAACGTCCCACTATTTTTATGTCTTTAACCTCTAGAAAGTTCTGAGAGGTCGTGTGCAGGCACAGATTAACCCATTCATGGGCATTCACAGAGACCACGAAGAAGAATGCCATAATATCTGCACTTTGCTCTTGGAAACCCAGGTGGTTTCTGTGGCATGAAACACCTTTCACCAGCTACCCATCTTGTTTGAACAGCCATTGTGAGGCTGCATCTGAAGTCTGTTTGGAAAGTCTTCAAATTGCTACTGTTAAATTCCTGACTAAGACAAGCTATAGGCAATGTGACTTAACTGTTCAAAATTAATTTTTGCTACCTCCCAGTGAATGTAAAAGTTCTGGTTTTGGTCTTTAAAGTCCATGCTAACGACTAAGTATATGAAATATTAATTTGTAAGACTCTCCTGAAGACCCTGAAACACAGACACAATGTTACCAAAGGTGATTGCTGAAGACAGCTTTTTCACATAGTGGGTATTTGACAAATTGTCCAGCACATATATATACAGTACAGCCCCTCCTCCTGATGTCCCGCCTTCCACTCCCCATAGGATGGAACTTTCCCTCCAACCCATGACAGACAGGTAACATCAGTGCTGTATGTAACACCCATGTCTAGATATCATCTTGTTTGAACAGCCATTGTGAGGCTGCATCTGAAGTCTGTTTGGAAAGTCTTCAGATTGCTACTGTTAAATTCCTGACTAAGACAAGCTATAGGCAATGTGACTTACCTGTTCAAAATTAATTTTGCTACCTCCCAGTGAATGTAAAAGTTCTGGTTTTGGTCTTTAAAGTCCATGCTAAAGACTAAGTATATGAAATATTAATTTGTAAGACTCTCCTGAAGACCCTGAAACACAGACACAATGTTACCAAAGGTGATTGCTGAAGACAGCTTTTTCACATAGTGGGTATTTGACAAATTGTCCAGTTGTGTCCAACTCTAGGGGGCAGTGCTCATCCCCACTTCCAAGCCGTAGAGCCTGTGTTTTGTCTGTAGGCAGTTTCCATGGTCACGTGGCCAGCACAACTAAACACGAAACGCCGTTACCTTCCCACTAGGGTGGTATCTATTTATCTACTCGCATTTGTACATGCTTCCAAACTGCTAGGTTGGCATATGCTGGGACAAGCGATGGGAGCTCATTCCGTTGCGTGGATTCTAACTGTTGGTCTTTCGACCTTGCAGCCCAGAGGCTTTGCGGTTTAACCTGCAGTGCCATCACGTCCCTATCCTTTGGAACAAACCTCTCCACAAAAAGTATGTCTGAGACTGATTTTGGCAGGGGTGAAAGACCCAAGTGGAGGTGGCTTTGTCTGCATCTACCTTTCAGGCTGATCATACTGTATTTGTTTAAACATGGAGTTTATCTAGTCTTTTTTTAATTTTGCATTGTTGCCTGAATTGATTATACAGTTGTTGTCTTAATTTTTTACATTATAAATTTTAAATGCTTTTATATTTTAATGCTGTAACATATCACCTATTGTAGTAGTCCCATTCAGGCTAAAAAGCAAAACAGTAAGTATATCAAACAAATTGGACTTTCCTATTCAAACCAATCCTTCATGTACAATATTTAATCCTATTATTACCCAAAAGAAAAAGCCCCATTGAATTAAGTAGGCATAGATAAGGTGTTGGTATGAATAAATTAAACAATGAATGAGCCAATAAATAAATTCATATTGATTAACACAAAGACAGCTACTCAGCCTGCTGTTAGAACAGATAAGGTTCATATTCAATAGTTAAGTGTGATGTTATATAAGATAATTACATTTTTTTAATGTATCGTTACAAACACACACACAAACACACCCAGCAACAAAACCTCTCTTTGCTTTTTAAAATCATTTCAGGACAGGTTATTGCAAAGGAAATTAATACAGCATACAGCAGATGGTGAACAGCCCTCAGGCCTATGTAATGAAGGTGTTAACGCTCTGACAGTCTTTGTTGGTATGCAAATACTAGTGTTCCAAGTATACAAGACTCTGTTTTAATCAACAGAATATTAGAGGTTCAGAATGCTTAAACCTTCTGCATTGTGGGTATTATCTTTAAAACAGAATCTTCCAAAACCTCTGTTTTTTTAAGTGGGACACACTACCTCTTCACCCGCATCATAGTAACTATCTACCTGATTCCCCTTATGGACAAACATTTGCTTTGTTTCACTTTGTCCTCTTACTTCAATAATCTTTGGTTATGCACTCCAGTTTACATGTTATACCATGCTAGCTTCTGTACTTAGATGTATGTTTTTGCAACACCCACATACTCCTTAGAAACATGACTGCTGTAAGTGATTGTGCATGCTTTTTATTCATGTTCTTTTATAACTTCACTGCTTTGTTCACATTACTATTTGATGAACCCCCTAAAAAAGCTGGCATTGTATGCATAGCAGAGTGGCTAAAACGGTGAACAATGTATGATAGGAGAGAAAGAGCATTGCTGACACATGCTCAGTTACAATGGACAATGGATGATGGTGGCCAAGTTACATAACAGTTCATGTTGTTATATGCCATTAAGTTGTTTTTAACTTACAACAACCCTAACAGCACTTTCAAGGTCTATGAAATGTTAAAAGAAGTGGTTTACCATTCCGACCCTCCAGTAAATTTCCATGGAATTGGACCTAGGGCTCCTGATTCTGAGTCCAAAACTCTATCTGCTACACCAGTGCTTCTCAATGTAGTGATCTCTGGACTGATACCAGTTTGTGAGCTATTGGACACAAGCAGGGAGCTGTCAGGAAAGAGACCTAACAGATATGCTATAGCACTCCAGTTCCTATGTTCAGCATTCCTCATATTGTATAGGTAAAGGTAAAGGTTCCCCTTGACATTTTTTGTCCAGTCGTGTTCGACTCTAGGGGGCGGTGCTCATCCCCGTTTCCAAGCCATAGAGCCAGTGTTTGTCTGAAGACAATCTTTCCGTGGTCACATGGCCAGTGCGACTTAGATACAGAACGCTGTTACCTTCCCACCGAGGTGGTCCCTATTTATTTACTTGCATTTGCATGCTTTCGAACCGCTAGGTTGGTGGGAGCTGGGACAAGCGCTGGGCACTCACTCCGTCGCATAGATTTGATCTTACGACTGCTTGGTCTTCTGACCCTGCAGCACAGGCTTCTGCGGTTTAGCCCACAGTGCCACCACGTCCCTTTTCATATTGTATAGGGCAACAAAATTATCATGCGCATAGACATACAGGTTTTTTTTCCAGGTAACATGTGGCCAGAAGCTCTAGGCTCATGTGTGGCTAATGGAGTTCACAAGCAGCGTTTCCTTGGGATATGTATATACAGTGGGGTCTTGACTTAAGAACGGCTCGAGTTAAGAACATTTTGTCTTAAGAACCACTCTCATAGGAAAATATTGACTTGACTTACATACTTAGATTTGAGTTAAGAACTGAAAAAAAACCACGTGGGAGGCAGGGAAAGTGCAAAATTTGAACTTTCAGTTAACTGTTGGCCAGTGAAAAGGGTCTGCTTCCTCACTCCTCCCAGCGTTTAGAGAGTGGATTGGGAGACAGGCTTCGGACTGCCTGATACTGGACTGCCTGGACTGTATTTTCCCTGCCTTCCCTGAACCTTTCTTGACCTAAGAAAAAAAGAAACAAAATATCCCCCTCTAGTGGTCGAAGGCAGAATAGCAGCTTCCCATTAGTTTCTATGGACGGAAAAGAGCAGATACGGATCAAATGGTTTTCAATGCATTCCTATGGGAAATGCAGATTTGACCTGAGAACTTTTTGACTTGAGAACCGCCTTCCAATACGGATTAAGTTCTCAAGTCAAGACCCCACTGTACCCAGATATTTCCACCAGTTGAGTTGACAGTGTGTGTTAAATATTGTATTTCTTATTTTGTTGCCATTTTAAAATAACTCTATGATTGGGGCAATTTATTCTTTCTTTCTTAGTACCATTTGTTCCAGATAAAATGGAATGACAATAGTAGTAATGTTAGGTGGCAATGTTTGGTGCTTTTATCATTTTACTAAACTACATTCCTGGATCTGTCCCTGGCATTCTGAGGGGTAAAAAACCGCCAGTCTGCACCATCAGACAGTTTGAGAAAGACCGTCCTTGGCCACGGGCTCTCCCGCAAAGTCTTAACAGGAATGGTTGTTGTAGGTTTTGGTTGTTGTAGGCCTTACAGGAATGTCTTCCACAAGGTAACTGCGTGGGACAAAAGGAGGTCCTTCAACTGCCACCCACAGATGGGGCAAAATTATAATACAGTAAATGAAATCCATTCCATTAGTATCTTAAATTTCGTAAACATGATGATTTTTTTTTTGTAAACATGACTTCACATTACAGTCTGCTATTCCTTCACCTCATGGTTAATCTGCAAACGTGAAAACTAATTAAACGGAATCCGGTTCGAAGGACTAATGAACCTCGACGCCTGTGGCGTGTGTGGTAGTGTAGTAAGAGAGCCCAAGGGGGCGGCCGCTCAGGCATGCAAGGGTTTGGTGTGACGGTTGTTCAGTTGTGAACCCGCGTGTGTGAGCAACCAGCGCTTGAGAGCTGCATGCTATAAAGTCGAGAAAGGTCAGGAGGCCTGGGGGGGGGGGGAAAGCTACTGGCATCTCATTCCCCCATCTCCGCCCGTCTGAGGCAGAGACCAAACCAACCCGAGCTGACCCAGTGTTCGGTTTGTACGGCTGGAGGGAAGGGCGAGGGCAGAAGGCGGGAAGACGGAGGAGGAGGAGACCGGGGCGGGGAAATACAGAATATGGGAGGTAGGAGACACCTCCTGTCATCTTTGTTAGAAATGTACAATAAGGGTCCCGCGCGGGCGGGAGCGCTTTCAGAAGGAGCGAGCCTGCGGCTCCGGAGCCATGGCCGCGTTCCCCGGTGGTAGCGGCGGCGGCGGCGGCGGCGGGAGCAGCAGCGGAGTCTCGTGGCCCCGTTCCCCGCCTGGCTCGGCACTCGGCTCGGCTCTGGGTTGGGAGCCGCTGCCGGGGCTCCAGATCCGTTCGCGCTCGGTGGAGCAGACGCTGGTCCCGCTCGTGGCGCAGGTACAGGCAAAGGGGAAACCGCGCGGTCCGCGGGGCTCCTCTTCCCCCGACCGTTCGGGTCGGTCGGTCGGTCGGTCCGACCTTCGAGTTCCGAAGGAGCCCCGGGATCCCCCTCCTCTTCCTCCTCCTCCCGCCGCTTTCCTCTTAATATCTGCGATCCAGTTCTGGACAAGTGTACCCGGAGCCTCTCCGGATCGGGGCCTTCATCGACCCCCCCCTTCCCTCCATATAGAGCTTTGCCGCTGAAGGAGACCCGCTTTGCACTTTCCGTGGCGCGCCGGTTCTCCCTCCTCCTTTTGGTCCAGAGACTTTGTAAGACAGCTCGAGGATGACGACCGATGCGAAGCGGGGGGTTAAGGGGGGGGAGAGAGAACCAGGCGGCGGCTTTAATTGGGGGAGCCGCCGGGAGGGAGAGATCGCCGGCGAAGCTTTCCCGGATGGACTCCCCTTCCCCCGCCGGAGCGGCCGCGGGAACCGCGATTCGGGACCTCCCTTTGTCCGACCAACGAACCGCCTCTCTGCAAGAGGCCGGAGCCGGTGGTGCTCGGACGGGAACATCTCGGCATTCCAGCCCGGCCTTTGTTGCGCTTTCGGCTTCCCTTTAGCCCAGAACTCGCGCATAACTTTTGTTTTGTTTTCTGGGGGGGGGGGGAGGACAGAATAGATATTCGCCATCATGAGTTGTAATTCATTAAAGTGTGTCGACGAACTTCCGGAGGATTAGCGGCGGTGGGCGAAGTTTTGTAGTTGGTGCGAAGTTTTCTTCCCCCCCGCCCCCGCATGGCCGGAGGGTGTGAATATTGCATGAATGTTATCTTAGCCGAGGACGATGCGCCCGCGGCACGTAGCTCCGCTAGCGGGCAGCGCCGAGGTCCTCTAGAAATAGTCCGACGGAACTTCAGTAGGTGTCGTTTCCGAACACGGTTGCCCTCTTAATAGCGCCCCATAGACCCCCAAGGGAGACCCAGACAGGCTTGTACTATACCTTCTTTTAGGATCCAGAGCTGCCAGGAAGACGCCTTGGTGCAGCGCCCACCGTCGGTTCCCTCCAAACACCCCCCTCCCACCTTGGTTTACATGCTAGCGCCTGCCCTTGAAACGAGTAAAATTTATTCCAAAATAAAACTTTTGCAAAACTGCAGGGTTGGCCTGTTTGACACCCTGGAGATGAATGGGAGCTGGACAAGAGTTGTGCCAGCGGTGTTGGGTAGTTCCCATCTCTTTCAGTGGGAATGGTCTCCTCTGCATCCGGGTGGGTTGTTGTGCGTGGAGGGGGGTGTTAGCCTTTGGAGGTACAGTTCCGTCTTTTTTGGGGTTAATCCCTGTTCATCCAGGGCACTTCAGCAGGAGCCTGAGAGGTTTGTTGAACTCCAGCATTAACTTTGTGGCATGTTAAGCCAGTGGGTGTACAATGAATTTCAAATATCTTACTTGTCGGCCTGGAGGAGTGGGAAAGTGGAGCAAAAGAACTGAAACATTTTGGGATTCCATCAACAAACTCAAACACGAGACTTGCATTCTTGGCAAATGTATTGTTTTTAAAAAGCTCTGCAGAGTATTAGCTCCGCTGGCAGTAACCTAACTAATAAAATAGCCATGGTTTTATCTTGCATTGGACTTTATTAATTAATTGATGGCATTTTTATGCTTTATTGATTAAATTATTTCTTTTATTGCACATAGCTTATTGTGAACAAAGGTACTCAGAGCTGCCTTGTAAACTAAAGTGTGATCAGGTACTGTCTAAATTTTGTTGACAACAAATACATCCACAGAAACTATTGACCAACATTTTTAAATTATCTCCACACACTCATATTCAGGCATAGTACATACTAATATTTTATAAGCTAATACAGTCTTCCCTAAAATGGTCCCTCCCAGGTGCTTTGAGCTACAAATCCCATTATCCCCAGATGACCAAGCCCTTAAAGGACACCAAGTTGGGGAAGATAGGCCTAGGAAGAACCCCTAATATGCTTCCAAAAGCTTTATTTTGGTAGCAGGTCTTATTTGCCTTTGGTAATTAGGCAAGAAGAGATACCCAGTGTGGTGTAGTGAACTAGACTCATGAACTAGGGCTCTAAAGACCAGGGTTCAAATCCCTGCTGAGCCATGGAAAGTCAGTGGGGGAGTGGGACTGATAAAACCACTCCTTAAATATCTTATTTATCTTGAGAGCTCTGTTAGGATCAATATAAGTCAGTTCAGCATGTAACAACAATTAGGCAAGATGCTATTTACTTGCCTAATTTCATCAGAAATGGCAAGTCTGTTGAAACAAGCCATAATATGCAGTAGAGCCCAAGTGCGATTTACTCAGAGGCAGGTCTGCCAAGTAGAAAAAGACTAGTAAGCATACTCTAGTATGGGAATAACTTAAAGGTTTATAGTGTTTGTTTCAGAAACTTTGGCATGCTTGGTCAAGAGCAGGGCTGGCGGGTGGTTCATGCAAGAGAAATGCCTCACAACAGAATGATAGTGGGAAGCTCGCTTTCTCAAGCCACTCATGATCAAGAACACATGAAAATGGCTACTAAAGATGGCACTATGTGGCAGCTTGGATCTATGCTGAACTGAGATGCTCCCCTCTCTGTTGTTGCCATAATGTCATCATTACAGTCGCACATCAAAAGGAGGGTAGTGCTTCAGGCTCTGATTTGGCTTCGTAGTCACACTATGTTGCCAGTGAAATTGGACTATGTGATGGCATTTGAAACAGACTGAATGAAGACAGGTTCTGTCCTTATTCTGTTCTCTTGTAACTTTAAAAATTAGGAGGTTGAGAAATGGTACCCAGAAGCAGTAGGAAGCCCAGTTGCTTCCAGGTCTAGGAACAGACGTCAGTGACAATTTTTTAAAATATGTTAACATTTTGGAGTTTCATGAAAGGTTCTCTGTCCCCCAAAGTATGCCTTCTGAACTGAAAAGGTTAAGCTTAAAATGATTGGCTCAGTACTAATTAGATGTGAGGTACTTTGGTGGAATAGTTGGGTAGACCTTTGTGGAATTATGAACTGGCCTGCTCAGATGGGCAAGATGCTGTAACACATGTTGCAGCATGTGTCAAGAGAGCCACCTGAGGGAGAGGATCAAAGTAAGTAGCATATTTCAATAGGATAAACTATAAATTTTCTTGGTCACATGCTTCTACTATGGCTTATTTAGATGCAGGTAGAATATCTTAAATGCATTGTGGTACAGTTGTGATGTTACGTGAAATTTATTATGGTTGTATAAACATGGTTGATGATTGATACAAGAACAGGCAAGAGAGAAGATTCTTTTGTAGCCATTCAGAAACAACTTTCTCTTCCTGTGGGTCAGTGATACAGTATCACTGTCACAAGAGTAAGAGTAAGTTTCCATAGTATGTTACTTCTGTTGCAAATAGTAACTGCATTTTGTAAGCCTCACAAGTGTATGGTGACAGCTTTCTAAACTAGGATAGTTTTCTACCTTTTCAAGTAACAGCAAATGCAATGGTGCTACTTGTGTGTTTCCTCGAACATAAAAAGCTGTTTTATATTAGAATCATGGATTCATAGAATAATGAAATTGGAAAGGGCCTCTAAGGCCATCAAATCCAACTTGCTGCTCAATGCAGGAATACAAATCAAAGGATATCTGCCAGGTCGTTGTCTAAGTTTCTCTTGAATACCTCCAGGGTTGGAGCACTCACCACCTATCAAGGTACAGTAATTGATTCCATTGCTGTACTACACTAACAGGAAGATGTTCCTGATATTTAACCACAATTAGGTTTCCTGTAACTTAAGACCATTGTTGTGTGTCAGGACAACAATGGGATGATCGAGAACAGATTTTGCCTCTTCTCTGAAATACAGCCTTTCAAGTATTTGAAAAGTACTATCATATCACCCCTCAGCCTTCTTTTCTCATGGCTAAACACGACTCCGGGAGGCAGTGGAAGACAGGAGGGCCTGGCATGCTCTGGTCCATGGGGTCACAAAGAGTCTGACATGACTAAACGACTAAACAACAACAACAAAACATGCCCAATTATTTAAATCTTTCCTCATCGGGCTTGGTTTCCAGCCCCCTGATCATCCTTATTGCCCTCCCCTGAACTTGTTCCAATTTGTCAGCATCCTTCTTGAAGTGTGGTGTCCAGAACTGGACACAGTACTCAAGATGAGGCCTAACCAGCACCAAATAGAAAGGAACTAGCACCTTGTGGGATTTGGAGACTATACCTCTGTTAATGCAGTCTAAAATAGGATTTGCCTTTTTTGTAGCCACATCACACTGTAGGCTTGTGATATGTGATGATTCCAAGATCTTTCTCAGCTGTAGTATTGCTGAGCCAGGTATCCTCCATCTTGTGACTGTGTGTTTCATTTCTTTTTCCTGGGTGCAGTACTTTGCACTTATCCCCATTAAATATCATTTTCTTTTTTTTCAGCCCAATGCTCAAGCCTATCCAGATCATTAGAGCCCACAGATTGTCCCGGTAGCTCAGTTGTATTATGTTTTCTGAGGGCAAATGACTCCAGAGTCTCAGTCCTAGATGCCAAGGACTGAATCTCAAAGCTTCTACACGCAGAACAGATGCTCTGTCAATTAGCTACTTTATAGCCCATGTCTTCTGGATGTGTTGCTGTGTTGGTTGAAGTGGTGATGCTGACTCCTTTTTTCTGTTCAAAACCTGTAACCCACTTGCTTGTCATTGTTCGGCGAGGCATTATCTCCTATGCACAGAATCTTGCAATAATATTTGATACCTTCTCTTCTTTCCCCATTTCAAAGTATTCTATGGTATAGTCAAAATCCATCCCCATTTTATTGCTCTACTCTTAAACATTTTGTATGGTTTTAATAATCTCTCAGCGGAATTATTTCTGCAGCCTTCCTGCCTGCTGTATTTTGTCTTTGATCTTTCAAAAATATTACTGCTCTCTAATCACTCCCTCTCCTTCTGTTGCTGTGATCTGATCTCTCATTTTTTGCATTTTGTGCTGGCTATCCATCACTGGACA